TAATATCTGCCTTGAAAATTACTAAATATTGTCAAACCTGATCATGATCATCTCTAAGAACTTGGGTTTGAAGACACTGACATCAAGCCTACCTCTCTTAAAGTGAAAGTTTCTTGAATTCATCAAAGCTCTTGGGAATCTAAAGGATCTGATCCCAGAGGAAGTGAACTGTAGTAGCCAACTTCCAGGGAAGACCCTGAAATGGAGGCTCCAAGTCTGGGAGAAAGACACTAAAATGAGCTCCAAGAAAAGAGTTGGTTGCCTATGACATGAACTCAAGGAGACCCTTGGGTAAGAACCCAGGCCGTTTTATGGTATCTGATGAAAGGAAGGGTCAGAAATGCATAGCCTTTTTCTACTGCTTATCAACCCGTGATGTAACTTAGTTGAGCCATGAGAGCATAGTTTGGACCTCCTGCATTTATAGGAACTGTAGACCGACAATGGACCCCCATTTAATGTGTCCCTCCCTAATAACCTAGGAATATAATACCACAGTGTTTAGCTTTTTCTGGATGAGAGAACATTCTGGAGAATTCTTGTGTCTTTGTAATATCTCTTTATTTATGGGTATGCAGGCAGAACTTACTGGAAGTAAGTGGACTTAAACAGTAGGTAGCATAACCAGTACACCTAAGTATAATTTCCAAAAACAACAACTGAGTTCTCCCAGATGGCTCTGTTTTTCCTTTTCAGCGATGCAGGATGCAAAACTTTCCAGTGCTTGTTTCTACTGAAGAATTTTCATTTAATCAATTCTTTAACAATTAATGACTGCCAAATGCAAATTTCAGATTCTGGATAGATATCAGGAAAATTTTTCTGACTGTTAGAGCAGTACAACAATGGAACTAATTACCTAGGGAGGTTGTGGGCTCTCCCACACAAGAGATGTTAAAGATGCAACTGGACAGCTAAGAGGGATAGTTTAATTTGGTATGCTGCTCTGAGTAGGGAGTTAGACTCAGGGGCCCTCTGGCCCCTTCCAACTCTATTCTATGATTCTGTGAAATACAGTATTAGGCAAGTTTTGCAGTTTTGAAGTTCTAATTAATATGTTTCAGTTAATGATCCTTAGCAAGTATGTGAAAGAATGCATATGCCATTGAAATGAATATATGTCTCAGTTTGAAATTGAACAAATAATGTAACTTGAAGGTGTCCCTCCCAACTTCAGTGGGAAAGAGAGTTCTTTTGAAATCAGTGGGTGATTGTTGGCATATTTTGCATAGTTCATTGAGTTACTAAAAATATTAGCATGTCACCCATTCTCAGTATTTTTACCCTGCTCCCTTACACTTCAATAATGTAAGGAAATACATGCCTTTAAAATGTTACAAGTATTTCTATAAAGAGGCTACATCATCATCAGTATCATCATAATATTTCTATACCATAGAAATATAGCCATAGCTGAAGCTCTCTAGGTAGTTTACAACCCCTGATTAAAAACTCTATAATAAAAATACCATAAAATCTTATCAAAAGAAACGAAACCAAAACAAATTAAAACAGCTAAAATATATGATGAAGAATGACTGTGTTTAATTAAACACACCTGGGATGGATTATAACCTAAAGCCCCAGATAATGAACAATATCTTTAAAAGCATAAGGGGTTGTCTTTCCAATGCAAACAAAAGATTTTCAGATTAACATTACCCAGATTAAGCTAATCTTAGGGGAATGTCTTCCACTCTAAACCTTTCCAGAAAACTTAACATTACTATGCCTTGCCTCAGACATTTTTCTGTGCCACTCATGGGCAATAGCAGAAATTGATCTCAGGAACCATCCTAGGGGCACAGTGTACATTACGAAAACCTTTGCTAGCTTCCATGAGGAAATATTGGCTAATCATCCCATAAAACCAAGGTCATTAAAAAAACATGTTCAGGTGAGATAGACAACTGAATTTACTAAAATTACAATAAAAATAACATAAAAAGCAATTATACTCTTTTCAGCGCCAGGTCAAAACCTTTTTATTTAAATGGCATTTTAAAATCAATAGCTTTTAATGTGCAGTCACTTGTTTTGTTTTGTGATTTATTTTGTGTTAATTGCTATTTATTGTTTTATACATTATTACTGTTTTAATTCATTTAATGGAAGTAGTTGTTGTTTTAAATTGTTCTTTTAAAGTACTGTAAGCCATCCTGAGATTTTTATATAAAGGATGGCATATAAAAGCTTTTAATAAATATATAGTATCAGTACACAAGCTGCTAAAGGTAGAATAGTCAGTTCACTCCTGGCACATCAGGATATCGTTTTATTGCAATATATATATATATATTTATATCCTACCTTTTTCTTCTTGTGAGGAAGCAGAGGAGGCTTATGTAGTCCTCCACTTCATTTTATCCTCGCAACAAGAACCTTGTGAGGTATGTTGGACTGAGAGTCTGTCAGCCACTCAGTGAGCTGGTAAAATTCACTGTCTTTACAAAGATCCATTTTCTCTTACTAGTTCAACCTTATTTGTCTAATCAATATTGAAAAGTTAGGGATTCAGTAGTTTCCTGCTGGACATGCCTCCAGGGCCACTACTGGCCCTGCACTTGTGGAATCAGACTTTGATTCAGACTTAAAGCAGAATGATTTACGGCTGTCATAGGCTCTGCCTGGCTTTCAAATGGTCTGATAACCAAAGAGGTTACCGCAGTTCCTATCAGCCACTGCAGATAGTTAGGGCAATCTTCTGCAATTCTACACTTAATAAGTTGCAAGGGAGAAAGAGGAAGGAAAACGGAAGATGGCAGGAGAGGGTAGATGATAGCAGATGGGCACTCTACAGGCCAGGTTTTACCCAACTTCTTCCGTAGAGTTGGGCGATTTCACTAGTACTGAATATCAGATATTATTAGTTTGGTCAAGTGTTTATCATTCTGAATTATTTTTTCTCTGTGTGCTTACTGATGGATAACAGTATGAGAAGAAATTCTTGATTAATACATCCTTTCTTCTGACAAAAAGACATTGGTTGTAAAATGTCATCTCAGAATATATGATAAATCCTTGCATTTAATACAACATGTCCTTATCACATGTGCATTCTGCCAACATCTCAGGGCTAAGGGCTAATCTTAGACTCTAAGATTAGATTTTCTACTCTAAGATTAGATTTTCTAATCTTCTAAGATTCTAAGGCTAGAATACTGTTACATGGGATGTTTATGTCTGGAGCATTGTCCACAGATCTTTATTTCCTGTCACTGCTTGTTTGCTCAGCTTAAGTGTCCTCGCCCCTATGTGGAGCACTAAATGTGGCTGTCCGTAAAATTACCCCGTGCCTTGCATATGTTTGTATTGACATAATAGTATGAAATTTGCAGCCGTATGCATTTATATTTTTCCCAGTTTCCATATTTTTTCCTCCTACAAGCTAGTTGAGTCTGCAGCAGAACTGCCAGGCTGTTGTTTCTCATCAGGGTTCACAGGCTGTCAGAAAGTCAATCTGGTGAAACATATAGAAATGTAACAGAATTGATTTATTTATGCTAACAGTGCCTGATAGTGTAAAGGCTACAATAATTGCCTGTCTGTTCTAGTACTGTCACTTCTGTAGCACATTTCTAAATAGGGAATTAAATACATCAGCAATTGTAATATATGCAGGCAGTGCTGTTTCTTAAACTTGTTTTCAAAAGCATGTGCTTTGAAGAAGCTGCCATTCTCTCTCTCTCGTTCTCTCCTTTTTTCCAAAGTTCGGGCAGATGCAGACGGCCATTTTCCCACAGTACATTTCTGTAGTAAATCGAAGGGGTTCCATGTGGAAATTAGTTTTCTGGAAGGGGCCATGTGGTAGATTCTTATACCATTGTACTTGCAAGTTAAAAGTGTCGTGGCATATAGTTCTTTATATACTGTTCCTTTCCAACCATATAGTCCCTCATAAATCCAGGAAATAATTGCTCAGTCATTGTCTGATTCATATAGGAGGATACAGATCTGGGCTGGAATTTAACTGGTTGTTTTGGTTTGCACCAAAAACACCCATGGAAAGGCCAGTTAAAATCATTTTACTTCTAAAGTGTGTTGTTTTTGTTGCAATGACTCTCAAAAATTTATAGAAATGGAATTTATTTATTTATTTATTTATTTATTTATTTATTTATTTATTTATTTAAAACATTTTTATGCCGCCCCATTCACCGAAGCCTCGGGGCGGCTCACATCATCAATTAGTTTGTATTGGCCTCGCTACAGTTCTGTCTCGCATAGCTGCACAGTGAGGATTCACAGTGCTGCACGCTGTCCTGTTAGAAATCTGACCAGTCCAGCACATTGCCCTTTAGAAAAGGGAGCTAACCTAGGCGGTGTGTGATGGGCAGAGGAAGCACCTGAGGCAGCACCTCAGCCAGAGTTAGGAACTGGGCAAAAAAGTCCATCCAGCAGAAAATGCAAAGCAGGAGAGTAGCAAATGAGAGGCCTCCACCATTCCTCCTGCTCTTTGACTCGTTCAGGGGCCTGTGCTTGCCATAGATTGATTCCTTAATTCAGTAGAGCTAAATAGGCTGGTGATTACTAGTTTATGGAGATGTCACATAGTACCTTAAGGAGGCTAGGTCTCAGGGTGATGCATCCCACCAGCAGGTGCAATGATAGCAGGGCTTAAGTATTTTGGCTGAGGCTGCCTTCCTGTTCTTGCTCACTCACAAAGAAGTACCATAGAATTAATTCCATGTATATTAAATGCATGATGAACATTCATGTCGCATCCCAATGTTTTTGGAAACAGGGATGAGACATTTAGGGTAACTTTTTAGATACATTTTTATTCAGTTTATAAGTAAAGTGTTTTCGCTTAGACCATCTATCTTCACAAAAATAGAATTTGTAAACAAAATAAGAAAAAGAAGAGGAAAGTATGTACATCATTATTTCCAGGTTGCCCACAAGTAATTTGTCTAGATTACTATAAGATACAAATCTAGCTAGTAAGTCCTATGTGATTTGAAAATATATGAATATTAATTACTATTTTTTAATTACAGGAGTTGTCAAAGTGGATTATGGAGATGTAACGGTCAGGAAAACACTGAGAGAGACTTTAAAATGTAAACCGTTTTCATGGTACCTAGAAAATGTCTATCCTGACTCCCAGATCCCACGAAGGTATTTCTCCCTTGGAGAGGTATGAATCGCTTATTTTAAGAGTGTGTTTCTAAGAGGGAATGTCTCCGCTGAACTAAGCTGTCTAATTGTCCCCTGTGATGTTCCTCACAGTGTGTGTGTGTGTCTTGTTTAAAGCAGGGATACAGAATTCTGGACTAGATGCCAAATTCACCCTGCCTAAACTTTTAGTCTGGCTGTCCAGGATATTAATGATGGTCCCTCCCCTGACCCTTTCCCTAGACAAGCAATCGCTAGATGACCCCTTGGATTTTGTGCAGTTTTTCCCCATTCTGAAGGTTGAAATGCCTCTTCAGGGAGAGCTTTATCCTTAAATATACACATATGTTTCACCTTGTCAGTTTTGCCTTTGTTCTCCAGCACTCGGCCCGGCCCACAACTGGAATGCACCTCCAAAAGCTTCTCCAAAGTGGAATCTGGTTCTTGAGATGAAAGTGGTGCTGTACCCATTTTACAGTTGTACTTTGAGCAAACAGTACGAGATAGGACAAATTCCGAAACACTTGCACTGGCAAGAGAAGAACCTGAGTTACTACATCCATCACATATCTGCTAGTGATAGATGAGCTTCTCCGGCAGTTATTTGGAGTAGATGCAGTTCAGATAATTCTGTTTTGGCCCAGTTCTGTTCAGGCCTCCATTTAAATGTTTAATCTTGGGTTCCACCCTGGTACCACCCTTTCCTTTATTGGAGCAGGAGGGACCTCCACGGTGTTTCTGATCTAGTGACTGAAAACAGATCACATCAGGCCTTTGGAAATGAGAGTGAAACAGTTGTACATGTTGGGAAGTGAGATCTACATATTTGTAGCACCATTTGCACACATGATAATCTTCATAACCCCTTGCACAATTGTAGACTGAAGCGTGCAATTTGCATGAATAGGTTTGCATTGTTTTAAATATTTTATCACATTTGCAAGTGCACTGCGTAACTGATGCAGCATATTCCCGTGACATATGCCTTGCCAGTTTCAGCTACTTTGCCCATAACTTGCCATCTTCCCTACTTCACAAATAACTTGTCGTCGTCAGTTTCATAATTTGATATTGACACTATGTATTATTATCTGCTAGCGCTCCATATATGCACATATCAAATAGACACATTATTACTTTCAGTTATTTCTTCTCCACCTTCTTCCCAGCAACAGTATGTGTGTTTCAGAGCCTGAAACTTGGACAGAAATTTCCTGAGCTTTTAAACAAGAGCTGAAATAATAATTTTAAAATGAGCTTATTTGATGTGCAAAGTTAAGGAAGCCTAGCAGAAAACTGTAGTGCCAAGGCCAAGCTAGTTGACAACTGTGAGGAGGAATGGAACAGACCCTGGAGGACCAAGTCAGGGAAACTGGTTGGATTACCAATCCCAAATGGATTCCTTGTACAACCCCAACTGGGAATGCCCACTGACAACTGAAAATATGGGGAATTTACTTCTTGGTATTTTCCGCCAACTCTGGTTCACAGGGACATTCAGATCTTGAAGCTTTTGTACAGATTTCCCTGCTCCTGAGAATATGTTTGAGAAACTGGGGAAGGATCTTTGAATTCTGGTGCCTGGTAGAAAGTGTTGGAACCACAGAACTGAATTGTCTCAAACTGTCAAAATCTTATTTTTAGCCATAAAACCCATCCAGCCCCCACCCCCAATCATTCAGTATTACTAGATAATTCTGCCATCTTTCACCTTGTTTAATCTTAAACCTTGTGGATGTTTGTGTGTGAAAGATCTGACGGTGATGTATTTAAAATGGGTTGCATTTACCTAGGAAATATACTAATCTCTCCCTTCAGAATTATAAATTCAAGGCTAGGTTAAGTCCACTATAAGACTTGTCAGTCAAGTCATGTTTTCAGAAAGATATCTAATAATATTTCAAGACCAATTATTTCAAAGATGAAGTTTAATCATGGAATAATATGTTTTGTCAAATAATTGACAGAGAAACCAAGGGAAGTGAAGTTATGAAACACCCATTAAAACCACCTTATTTTTACCAATAAGAGCTAGGTTTCTATGGTAACAGGAGTAGAATTTCAAGCTGCATCTGTGAAATAAGTCTTGCTTGTCAGTTTCAGTTGCTAGCTGTCCAGTGGGCCTATAGGTGCATTCCCTTCTTCCCTCCAAAGATTACATCTTTGTATAGCAACGGTACATTTTGCACAATACCTTTATTAGGAATGACTCAAGATTGCAAATTGTAAAGGAGCAAGGCTCACACTGCTTTACAGAAACATTCAATTTCTGTGGTTTTCCACATTTTGTCACAACCTAAATCTGGAATGGATTTAATTGGCATTGTTACCACTTGATGTACGCTTACGAAGTTAAGAAAGCTTCACAAAAAGTATACTGTCAGGACACTGGTGAGAGAGTAATTAATTTTCCACTTATTGAAATGTCTTTCATATCTTACATGTACCTTAATAGCAACATTTGGAAATACGTTTGGCTGAGTTTACTGGCTTGTCACTGCCAGAAATTAGAGAAAATGATTGTGCATGGGTAATCTGTCATTTTAGTTGGTTGCATATCTCTTTGCCATTTTCAAAATGAACATTTTAAAGCAATCTGCCAAACAATGAAACTGTGGAAAAGAGAAGACTACCCAGCTAGAGGAGGTTGGAAGAATAAGCTAACTGAATGTGCAGTAACAGCAAAACTAACTCTCTCTCTCTCTCTCTCTCTCTCTATATATATATATATATAGAGAGAGAGAGAGAGAGGGAGGGAGGGAGGGAGGGAGGGAAGACCAACTAAAGAATGTAATGATAAATAGGAAACTTAGTGTAAAATTTACTTAAAACTAAAATAGAGCTTATAAATATATCATTAGTGTGTTATAATTTTAATACAAATGCTTTGTTACTATTTAAAATTAATTTAAAATGAATGGAAAATAAGTTAGTATTAGAACAATTGCTCTATGAATTTCAATTAAGTAGTAATGAATTAAGTGTAGAAGAGGTAACAATTACTGACTTCTCATGAATTTTTTGAATTTGATTTTATATGTAACATTTGTGCAAATATCCTTTTTTCCATATTCTACTTTTTAATAAAAATAAGAAATATAAAATATTTGTTGCCATCTTGACATACAATGGGTGCAGCAGCATGCCTATTAATATATTATTGAGCACTTTTCAGAACAGAAAATCTCCCAAATTGATTTCCAACTTATATAACAATAAATTCCAAAACCATAATAAAACATTAACAAAGCATCTAGGGAAGTAAAAACACTGGCATCCAATATACAATTTCAGCTAAGCCGTAGCAACCCAATAAAAATCTTCTTAGGAGGCAGCAGTAAAAAACAAAGAAGACTTTAGGGCTCTTTAAAGGGTCTGTAGTGAAGGGGCCTGATGTATTACAACTGCATTCCATGAATATGAGGCCACTGAAGATGCCCTCTCCCCTGTGCCCATCTGCCTAGCTGCCCTAAAAGGTAAGCCTGTTAGTAGGACTGGTGACTTAGATTTCAAATTGTGAACAGTCTGATATTTATGAAGGTAGATCTTTAGATAACTAAGTCCCAACTCGTTTAATGCTTTAGAGGTCAATACCATCACTTAAAATCGGGCCCTGAAATGCAGTGGCAAGAAAACCATTTTCTATTGGAGTAGTAAAATAGAATCCTATTTGTAGTAGTACTTCTTAGTATAATTTTATTGTAGAATCCTACTTGTAATAGTACTTCCTTGTTATGAAACATCTCTTCAGTGATAGTGGTTGAAAGTTCTAACATGTATCACTATGCAACCAACCCAAACGGCTACACAGGACGTACAGTTTCTTTTTAATTTCCATCGGCATCCATCTCTGCGGGCTACATGCTCATTTCTCCTAAGCAAATATAATAGTTTTGTACTTCTATGTTAATCGATTCATCAATTAGATTCATCATGATGATTGACTAAAAAGGTGTCCTTAATGAATTTGAAATAAAGGCCAGTATCCAGTGCTGACTGACCACTCACAAAAGTCTTGTCAATTCTGTTGTGCGAAAGACCTCCACCACTTGCACAATGGCAATTCAGTGCTTCTGGGCAGTAATGCAGAACAAGCAGAAGAGTTTGTGTCTGTTTATTTCCACGAAGCAGGCAAATAATTTAAAAGGCATGTATCAGTGAATTTTGAAGACTGCCCCAGTACAGAATTTATCCACATCTCTGTTGAAAAGACACCACTACTGGATGTTGTCAAAACAAATAGTTAAAGGGAGTATTAACTATACTGCACCACTAGCAGTCAGGTGAATTAGACAACCCCTTATTAAAACAAGGTTGCATTGTCCGGTAGACATGAAACAGACATTTTTACTGAATAAGACACAGCCTAAAATCCTTGTATGTGACAGATAAATGCTGAAGCATTTTGTGGTGATGTCCATATCAGTTTCTCAAGTTCTCAAATGTGCCCATGGGTCAAAAAGGTGGGAGCTATAGGATTAAATTGTGAAAACTGTATAATAATTTGCAATCCTAAATATCCTTACTAAAGAGCAAATCTTATTGCAGAAGTCTTCCATTATCTGGTGATGCTCCTACTCTTAAATAATTTTAAATTGCTATGCTGCTTTCTATTTTGCTTGTTTTACTAATTTTTTAAAAAATTCTTGTTGTATTTTTTACCCAAGATCAGAAATGTTGAAACAAACCAATGCTTAGATAATATGGGACGCAAGGAAAATGAAAAAGTGGGTATATTCAACTGCCACGGCATGGGAGGAAACCAGGTAAAAATCTTGTTTTCAAAATGATTGTCACAATATTCTTAAGGTTCAACTCATGTAACCAAATATAACCAAGCCAGTGCTTTTTAAGTAAAGAGGTAGGTTTAACTTAATATGTTGAAATTCATGACAGAGTGTGACCTCCTTCTGGGTCATGGTGGGACAGAAGTTACATTGTCCATGCATTAGGAAGTTTTCATTGCTAACAAAGTAAAATCATGAAATTTAATGAAGGCTAAATGAAAGCTCTCCTGAGGTTCCACCACCTTCTGCCAGTGAGAGTCGTATTCTATGAGGATTTCTCTGGCATCCCTATCTCCCATCTTCTTCTTCTAGCCTCCCTCTCTGCCTCGTGTAAGTTGCTTGTGTCTAGACTGTTAAATAAGTTTCTAATAACATAATTAAAGGTACAAAAGGAATGAAGAACTACCTCAGCCCTGGAAACAATTCACCAGCAATTCATTTGGAAACTCTTGTTTTCTGCATGGGATTGTAAAATAAGTATTTGGCAGTCCACAGAAATAGCCGGTTCAACTTGTGCAGAACTCGTCTAGCTGAGGTTGGAATAGATTGCATGCATGTTAAATGCATAACTGATAAGATACCAGGCTAAAAGTTCTGTAAAAGAACATTGAAAGTCCTCTAAAGGAACTCTACAAGAACTTGTGGTGGGGAAGTGGGTTTATTAGTAAGGAATGGTGTAACTCTGTCTTCTGCTTTTCATGGATGGAAAATTTCAGTGGGAGTGAAGATTCATTGACACTCATGTAGCCTTTTTTCAGCTAGTAGCCACCATTTTTATTTCTCAGGAAAGCCATTGTGGCTACCATTCTTCTCTTCAGGTTACATGATAAAGCATTGCTGGAAGCCATGAATGAAAAATGGCGGCTGCCGGGTTGAAAAACCAGCAGGAGTGCTGATGAATTTCATATGCCAATCTCAAAATTAATCCTCCAAAAACAGTGAAAATGCCCCCTCTTTCTCAGCCTTTGAAGGATAAGTTTTGCTTAGCCCTTAATATGATTATAACCTGCAAACAACATTAGATATGTGGCAGAAAACAAAGGCATTTTAATTGAGAAAGAGTGGACCACTTGAGCAGTCCTGCAGAATGATGAGACAGAATTATAGCATTCTACATCCCGTATAGCATGCTGAAATGCTTTGCTAATCACTAATGTAAAAATGCATTTCATTCATTCATTCATTCATTCATTCATTTATTTAGGAAGCTTCTATGCCGCCCCATTCGCTGAAGTCTCGGGGCGGCTCACAACAATAAATAAATAATCACAATATAAAAACAATATAATTTGAGTTGACCTGGCCAAAGACTAAAATAAATAAATAATATTAACAATTAAAATAACGCTTAAATAAAAAGGTCTTCGCCTGGCGCCAAAAAACAAATAATGATGGTGCCAGGAGGACCTCTCTGGGGAGCTCATTCCATAGAAGGGGTGCCACCGCAGAGAAAGTCCTCCTCTGAGTACTTACCCTCCTAATATCCTTCACGGAGGGTTCCCGGAGAAGGGCCTCACCCGCTGATCTCAAGGGGCGGGCAGGCATATATGAATTGGGCCCGGACTTCAATGGGAAGCCAGTGAAGCTGACGGAGAACTGGAGTCATGTGAACATAATGCCCAGTCCCCGTCAGCAGCCTGGCAGCTCTATTTTGAACCAACTGAAGTATCTGGACTGTTTTCAAGGGCAGCACCAAGTGGAGCGTGTTACAGAAGTCAAGTCGGGAAGTCACCAATGCGTGAATCACTGTCGTCAGGCAGTCATTCTCCAGGTAGGGACGCAGCTGATTGATCAGCCGAAGCTGAAAGAAAGCGCTCCTCGCCACCGCTGTCACCTGAGCTTCCAGTGAAAGCTCTGGGTCGAGGGGCACTCCCAAGCTGCAGACCTTGTCCCTAAGAGGGAGTGCAACCCCGTTCAGGTCCCCTTCCCCGAAGCCCAATCCGCCAACCAACAGGACCTCCATCTTGTCTGGATTGAGCTTCAGTTTATTGGCCCTCATCCAGCCCATTACCTCGGCCAGGCACCGGTTCAGTACAGCCACTGCCTCACCTGGATTAGTTAAGAATGAGAGATAGAGCTGGGTTTCATCAGTGTACTGATGATTCCGCAGCCCACACCTCCTGATGACATCTCCCAGTGGTTTCACGTAGATGTTAAATAGCAAAGGGGACAAAATGGATCCCTGCAGTACTCCATGGCAAAGCTGCCATGGCGCAGAGCCATAGTCCCCCAGCATCACCTAAGCATACATGAAAATGTTTTGCAAATAGCTCTAGGGCATTGTAATTAAATATTAGAATATGCAAAAGTAAAACTTTAATCTGATTTTAATATTTTTTTATTTCTCTGAAGCATGTTAATTGGTAACTGGATATGATTTGCATGTGTTATCTAATTGGTAATGAAATCATATCTATTTGCATGCCTCACCAAAGTCTGTATTCAGCAATTAATTGGCAAAAGGTTTCCTTCAACAATTAAAAGAGTGCTTTTCCTGTAGCTTTAATTAGAATACTATAAATGAAGTGAGAGGTGAACTCACAATAATTAGGAGTTTTGCAGAAAATTAAAATATCTGCCGTTGAGGTTGCTTTAAATTTTCTTTGGTTTTTTTCTTGTCCCAGAATCCATCTTTATAGCTTGGACTTTATCTCCACGTTTTCCCTTTTATGATGCTTCCTTCTCTTTCCCCCTTTTCCCTCTATCCTACCCCCAAAAAGGAGAAGGTCATGGTGTTGCTGCTAATGTATCCAAGATGCATTGCTACCCTAAATGAAACTTCTGTTTGTTGTTCCTCTCACATTTAAAATGTACTGTACCAAGTGAATCATAGTATAATCAGGCAGTTGCAAAATAATTAACTGGAACTTCTTTAGCAACAAAATTTTTTTTCCATGCAAAATAAATACCAGGTGTCACATGGTTGCTGACACCTCTCTTATCCTCTGTATCTGCCTCATCGTTTTGCCTTATAATAGGGCTGGCCATGACCATATAAATGCAATGTCACTTGTATATGAATCTAAATTCTGCGTAATGCTAGTTGGCAAATTTCAGAAATAATAGTATAGTGCAGAAAACAGAAAGCAGAATGAATTGGGATACCTTTCCTGTTAAAATATGTTTTGAGAACTTTTCAGCTGATAAAATAAGATTACTAAAAGGGAGATGATAGATGTTTAGAGAATTGTGGAGGGCATGGTAAAAGCGGATGGACCTGAACGAGCACTTACGTCCGTATATGCCCAACCGCCCTTTGAGATCTGCAGGAGAGTCCCTTCTCCGGGAACTCTCCATGAAAGAAATTAGGAGAGTGAGTACTCGGAGGAGGGCTTTCTCTGCGGTGGCGCCCATCCTATGGAATTCACTCCCCAAAGAGGTCCGCCTGGCACCGTCGTTACTGGTTTTCCGGCGCCAGGTAAAGACCTTTTTATTTAAACATCATTTTAATTGTTAAAACATATGATCTGGCCAGGGCAACTTCTTCTTCCTTCTCTTTTCTCCTCCTATATTATTTATTTACTTATTTTATACAGATAATTTTAATTCTATATTATTATGTTTGTAACTCAGTGTATTTTTTGTATTTTTGTATTTAATGGTAATTTATTATGTTCTATTGTATTTCAATGTATTTTTTAACATTTCTATGCCGCCCCTTGCCGAAGCCTCGGGGCGGCTTAGAAATGTTATAATAATAATAATAATAATAATAATAGTAATAATAATAATAATAATAATAATAATAATAATAATAAAAAGTCTCCCATCAGAATGTTAGAATTTCTCTTAGAATAATCTATAGGCTAATGTCTTAGGGCATCTCTTAGGATAGCAAATCTGAAGGAAAATTCCCTGTCCATTGTGGTTATTAAAATCTACCGGGACACATTTGCGGACTTGGGTTCAGAGATAGTGAATGCCTCCTTGAAGGGCTGGTAGTGGAACCATCTGCCTTTAAGGATGCAGTACTGATGTCCCTGTTAAATAAATTAAGAGTTGCTGAATTGGAGAACCCCATTGTAGTCTAATCTTCCTTTTGGGGACAAGGTGATGGATGGTGTGGGACCTCTTATCTCCAGGTGGTTTTAAAAACAGTATTTATATATGTTCCAGTCCAGATTTGCCTGGTTTCAGGCCAACAACCTTGGCCTCCTGGGTGGATGACCTGAGTTGGGAAGAAAATATGAGAATATGAAACCCTACTGGTTCCTCTGGATCCCTCAGTGGCTTTTAACTCTAGCGTCCATATTTTCATTCTGATCTGCCTGGATCAGCTGGGACTAGGAGACAGTGACTTTGGTCCTTCCTAGTGGGTTCATCCCAGAATGTAGTGATGGGAGATTTCTCTTCAACTCGGTGGAATTCAGGCTTCCCCAATCACTCACATTAACTTTGCTGCATTTTTTGTATTCACCATGGCAATTGTAGTTTCCAGTGGTGGCCTCGAGTATTTTTCATCTTCATGATGCTTTAGCACTTATCTGATGTTAGTGATCCAGGTTGTCCTAACGTGCAAGCTAGAGTGTTCTACTGAACTTTCTCTAAGGCTGCTTTTGAGGGCTGTTCTGAGTTTCTAAAAAGGGCATTTCTGCACTTGGATATCCAATATCTATGTGGAAGTAAGCTCTGCTGGGTTTCCAGGTAACTGCAGCCCTAATAATATGATTGTTTATTTTTTAATTCAGACAGTCCACTGGAATGCATTACATCAAATTTCAGACACAGTTTAAGATAACAAATGTTATGTGTAAAATATCTGACTAAAAGTGGTCTCTATGTGGAAAACGACTTAGAACTTTTTTGCGTTTATTGTGCACTTGCAGTTCCCTACTTGTGTTATTTACCTTTTTATAAATAGTGCTCTTCCAGTTTTGTGTCCGTGACTGAAAAGCACTTTTGACAAGTTTTTTTTCTCAAAACAGGAAAAATGTGACATTTATTTTTTAAAAATAAAGGAAACTGTATTTTTCATTTTGAATTAGTGTTATTTCACTGTACCACAGTGCCACCTAGAGATTATGTAGCAGAAAAGTAGAAAAAGAAATGCCCTTTGTATAGTGCTTAGATTTCAATTTGATTGGGTAATAGAGGCTCAATTGGGTAATATAGATAATTCAGTTTAACAGCCTCATGTAGAAAAGATCTTTGTCTGTAGTGTCTAGATGGATATATGAAGATTTCTATCTTTCTTTAAAGTGTATTATTTATATATTGTTATACATCACTATACTGTCACTTGAGGGTTGTTTTGTTCTGATATAATTATAATATCAGAACAAAAAATGATTGGTTTAATTAAACTGTTTTAGGGTATTTAATTAGGGTATAATTGCAAATTATTTGTAACCTTCAAGTTATGTTTGAAATGGCAATTGTAACATTCCTATTGGTATCTAGTAACACACCCTTGTCCATAGGAAACTGAATCTCAGGGGCGGTACCCATCCCCATCACAACTTTTGGTATCAAGAGAGGATTCTCTCTATGCTCCCTGAATCAGAGTATCTGGAAGGATAATTATGGCTGCTCCACAGTAAGGAAGCCACATTTCCTTAGCTAATACCTATTATATAGCAAAAGAGTTTGTTATGTGTACTGCCTTTCATTGGCCATGGGTAGACAAATAGTTCTGGAAAAGGACTAGCATATATTATAGCCATTCATTTCTTCCAGGTATTTTCATATACTGCTGACAAGGAGATCCGCACAGATGATTTATGTTTGGATGTCTCCAGACTCAACGGTCCTGTGATTATGTTAAAGTGTCACCACATGAGAGGAAATCAACTTTGGGAGTATGATGCTGAGGTGGGTATTCCAATACAGCAGAGAAACTAAACATATTTTTATTAATCATATTCAAATATGATTGCATTCTGAGGCAGAGAGGTAAGCACTGCCCCAAACTTAATCCTTTAAGCTAAAGCTGTGTGATGTATTTCAGTCTGATAAGAAAGCTTTTGCCAAAGGTTCTGCTTGATATCTTCTGTCAGATTCTGTAGCCTTTTCTCCTATTGTCTGGTTAGCCAGGAAGAAATGAACTTCACTCTTATCCAGCCCTGCCCTATCCTACCATTAATCTTAAACCCTTTTTACCAGCTCACTTGAAATAATCCAAGAGACATCTAAACTGATGAGTGTGCTGAGTAGATATATACACAACAAATAAATTTGGGGTTTCTGTAAATGTGTATATGCACGTATATGTGTATTCTGTTAAGGTTATTAAGGTGTGTAGGATGCCACATAGTGGAGGGAAGCAATTATTATGTATTTTAAATTCCCAGGAGGAAAAATGTGTATGCACATATAGATAAGTACAACATTATATTAAGTGGAAAGGTGAATCAGAATGAATGTTCAGTTAATTAGGCTTACAATCTTTAGCCTGGAATATTTTCATTGTTTTATCCACTATGAAGTCTGTAGCCCTTTTTCTCAAGTCAGATCGAGAACCTGTCATGCAGGATTTCACCTTCTCCTCATATCATTGTAACAAATTATGCCTTGGACTACTTGTTAGGAAACTGCAGCTGCAGGAAAGCCTGGTGCTCTATTTTGTAATGATAGTGGGTGACCAGATGGATGTTATACAAGTGCCTCAGGGTCTCTGCTAGTCCCCTTAAAGCTTTTGGAGCACTATGGAGGAAGCTTCTTTCAAATTATAAAGCTATAAATGACTAGAAGCCTTCGTGTGAATTTCTTCTTATAGCACTTCAAGCTATAAAATTGATTGAGGACACCTTATTGGCTGTATACCCTTATGATGAGCTTGCAAATAGAAGTGTTTCCAGCAGCTGAAAATGAATATCAGGCTTGATTCCAGAAGCAAGAATATGCTTTCTAGTTCACACTGAAAATAGGCTTATATAGCAATTTTTGGAACTTGTAATTTTTATTCATTTGCTTCCCAATAAGCCACTAATATATGAGTCCTTGTTCATTATTTCAAGGATGCTTTCATTTTTGTTGCTCATTAAAATATGCAGTATCACAAAATACTGTGACTTGGTGCATAATTGTACTGCTACGGGATATTTGGGATGCACAAAATATAGTACAAGTTTATCATCATAAAAACGTTGTTTTATAAATAGATAGGAAGATTCAAGAGATTTAGAACTGAAACAAAGACAGAAATGTTTGCCACAATTTTGCCATAAGAGCGCAAATATTTTGATACTGCTTTGCTGGAAACTGTTCAGGAATCAGGGATAGTCCATACATGTGTATTTAGCACATGCATATAGTGACATCAGATGGCAACTTGAATGTGTTCAGGTACTCTCACAAGCCAAATATTACGGGCTGAAAAGCAGTGAACATGGCCACAGCTAGAGAGGAATGCTGAATACAACCGGCCATGATTGCATGATTTCTTTTTAGGCTACCAGTGATATCATGCACTTTATGTATGAAGCTTCTCAACGTTCTAAGTAGTCAAGAGTTCTACACATGCTTCTGTGGATCAGGCCATTCATCATTTCCAATTCCCAAAGCACACAGTGCCTACATTTGAATCTGCCATTCTGTAGTGTGTGGACCTGTAGTCCATACACAGCATCTTTTCCCAGGGACAATTCCTTCCATTTCCAGTTCAATATAAAGCCTGGGATACTCCCATGCAGACTTCCTCTGAGAGACTACCATTTTATTGATAATCTAATCATGTATGGAGGAGATACATTTTCTTTATGCAACATTTTCCTTCTGTAGTTAAGGTTTTCTTCCCATTATTTAATTCACTGTTTCCCAAAACTGTTGAGATAAAGCAGGAAAAAAGACCACAGCAAAGAATCTGATAAACACAGATTCCTTAGTTAAGGCAAATTGCCCTTTAAGTTTATATAGCAGGCTGAAAGAGAAACAAATGCCTGTTTTAAAATAATATTTGCAGGTATGATTTATGCAATGAGTTTTGAGTGCCTTCTGCATACTTGGTTACTTGCGTAAGTATTCACCCTCCTGAGTCAATACCAGGTAGAAGCACCTACCCAGTATTGACTTCAGACAACAAATACAGCTGTGAGTCTTCATAGATAAGTCTCTTTTAGCTTCATGCATCTGGATCTTGCAGTTTGTGCCATTTATTCCTGTTCCAGCTTCATCAGCTTCAATGGATTTCAAGGTTTGCCACAGGCTCTCTGTTGGATTGAATCTGGACTTTGACTGGGATTTATTTATTTATTTATTTATTTATTTATTTATTTATTTATTTATTTATTTAGAAAATTTCTATGCCTCCCCATTCGCCGAAGCCTCGGGGCGGCTCACAAAACATTAAAATATAATACATTAAAAATATAAAACGAATTTACAATCTAAAATAAGTCACCCTGGCCACAGAATAAAATAAGGAAATAATATTAGCAATTAAAATGATGTTTGAATAAAAAGGTCTTCGCCTGGCGCCGTCGTTATTTGTTTTTCAGCGCCAGGCGGACCTCTCTGGGGAGCGCATTCCATAGATTGGGTGCCACCGCAGAGAAAGCCCTCCTCCGAGTACCTACCCTCCTAATTTCCTTCATGGAGGGTTCCCGGAGAAGGGCCTCTCCCGCAGATCTCAGGGGGCGGGCGGGCGGGCGTATATGGATGTAAGCACTCCTTCAGGTAGCGCTTACAGGTAGTGGTTATTTTGAAACCACTCCAGCATTATTTGCCTGTATGTTTTGAGTCATTGTCCTGTCCCAGTCCCAGGTCCCTTGCAGGATTTCCTTTAGAATTGCACTGCATTTGGTTTTAACCTTCTTGCTGTCAGTCCTGGTCAACTTCCAATTTCCTGATAAGGAACAGCATCCCTACAACAAGGTGCTGCCATCAAATTGCTTCACTATGGAGATGACGATCTCAGGGCATTGAGTGCTGTTGGCTTTACACCACACAAAGCGCTTTGCAGCAAGGGCAAAAGGTTCCATCATGGCCTTAGCAAACCAGAGAACCTTTTGCAGTATGTTTCCTTTGCCTCCCACATGACTTTTTGCAAAGGCAAAATCAGGCTTTAATACGGATTTAATTTAGCAATGACTTTCTTCTTACCACACCTTCATAAGACCCAGTTTTGTGGAGCATCCAGGTGATCCTTGTCCAATTGATGGTTTATCCCATCTCAGCTCTGGATCTTTTCAGGTCCTTTCGAGTTACTATGGGCCTTCTACCTGCTTCTCTGATTAATACCCTCCATACCTGGTCACTGAGTTTTGGAGCAGGGGCTTCTTTGAGCAGAGCTGTAGCTGAGCTATATTGTTTTCATTTGTAATAAAGAATTTAACAGTGCTGCAGGAGATAATCATAGCTTGGGATTTAAAAATAATTATTATTGCTTCTGCAATAATATTACATTATTGCTTTCACACAGCATAACCCAGAGTTGTTTCAATAGCTGCTTAGTTCTCGTGCTCATGTTTGTTTTGATATGCTCTCCAACAATCATCTTCCAGAAACAGGTACATTTATACATAGTTCCATCAAATGCAGGCCACTTTATCTGCCACTGTTCCAGGCTGGCTAATGTGAATAATGACTGACACTGTTGGTCTTCTCATGCAGAGAGGGTGAAAGCAGCAAGTGATATCATAAGAATCGCACCTTTCTTGCAATATTGAAAAAAAAATAATGATGAGACACGACAATTGTCCATGAGCCCCTTTTTTCCAGTGTTGCATGGCTGACAGGAATCCATTGCAGTTTCGTCAGGCCCTTCTGTAAGGATCCTGAAAGTCAAAACATCTGCACTTGAACTTAGATTTAAGAGTCTTGCACTATATGGAATTGTGCGGAAGGGTAGGCTATATGTTAATTGGAAAGTGTATTTTTTAAAAAATAGCAAGGGTGCTTACTAGAACAAATAATGGAGAGGGTAGAAGCAAAAGAGATTTTTCTTTTTGAGCAAAGAAATGGATACCATGTGCACCATCTAGAAACTGTGACTCTTTTTAGAACTGTTTTTTATGATAGGGAAATGTGAACAAATCTTTCAATTAAGAAATGACTAATAGAACTAAAGCTCAAGCATTCCATCCATAAAAGTGTTTTTAAAAATTCATTTTGTTATATTTTAATGCTTGTATTCAGCTGAAACTGTGTTTAGGAACAATTAGAATAGTCTATCAAAAGTAAGCTGACATTCTATATAATTGAACACATTTAGTCATAGATTTCTTGATGATACGTTGTGAAAGCCTAGAGAACGTACAAATGTCTTGTAAAATCCAGATTAGCCATTAGATGGAGCCAGGAAAAAGGAAAAAGGATCTCTCTGAAGGCTGCTCAACATTACTTTTCTTTGTAATATTTTATTAGATTTGGCTCTTTATTATCAACCCATGTTAATAAATGAGTTGTTATTTCATGAAAACATTTAATAAGATTTCAAAAATACATGGCCTGCCTTAAAATGTATACTTTTTAAAATGGTGTTGTTATCTATTTATTTGCCTTAGCCATAACTGTCCCAGGTTTAAGATTTTTTTGTTCTGTTTTCTATGGATTTTAAAGGAAAACTGAATTTTTGCCAGGCATGAGGCTTGGTGCATTGGTGGGGGTTTCTTTTCTTCTTTGTGTTTGTTTTGTGCAGTTCTGTACACCTTTTATTAGTTATATGGATGGGTAGTTTATATTAAAACTATGTTTAAAATACAGTGTTTTATTAGTAATTTAATACATTATAAATAGATATAAGTTTTTTTTAAAAAATCTCAGCTAATTTCCATAATGGTAGGATCTCTTAATATCTATTATTTTGTTAGGTTATTTGTTTACTAACTAACACAAATTGCTAAAATACTGAGATGATGCAGCTAAATTTAAAT